AACATTTTATTCAATTGTGGAATTTTCAGAGAAGTAATAATTGCCAATAAATATTTTTTTATAATTAAAATAACAATTACAAATATAGGACAAACATATTCTGTAGTGCTGTACAATAGACAATATGAAACAGTAGATGAATCGGGCCCTACTCAAGTAAGCTTACAACCTGAAAGGGTGGGCAACAAATACACAGAGAAAAGTAAGGACTCAAAAGATCTGTATATAGATGAAAGAATGGAAAGGGTATTTGGGAGAAAGGGGCACAGTAGTTGGAAGGCAGTTGAAGTTGTAAAGGATGAGAATATAATATACTTCTCTCAATAAGTATGGTTTTAGAGACTGTAGAGATAGGGTAAGTCGAATGTGTCATGGGAGGATATAAATAAATATTTATTATATCATCAACTCTTTGTACCTTTTGTTGAGTTTATTTGTATTATTTTTAATAATCACATATGTTATGTTTAATGTAAATGGGTGGTGTTCCCAGTATGAAAAATGGATGGAATTATTTTCCACCACGCAGGCTTGCTGCCTAGGTGTTCTCTTTGACTCCGACCTCTCCTTCAAGCCTCATGTTAATTCTATCGCCAAATCCTGTCATTTTTATCTCAAAAACATTGCACGCATCCGCCCCTACTTAACGCCAGATGCGACTAAGGTGTTGGTCCATTCCACTGTCCTTTCTCGCCTTGACTACTGTAATCCTCTTCTCAGTGGTCTTACGTGCTCCCAACTTGCGCCGTTACAGTCCAAAATGAATGCGGCAGCGAGGCTCATCTTCCTGTCCGCCCGCACCTCCCATGCCTTACCCTTCTGTCAGTCCCTACATTGACTTCCTATAAAATATAGAGCTCAATTTAAAATTCTGGTTCTTGCTTTCAAATCGCTACATAATGCTGCTCTCACCTATCTATCCTCCCTTATACACAAATATGTCCCATCTAGGCCCTTACGATCTGCTGAAGACTTACGTCTATCTTCTGTCCGTACTCCCACCTCTGATGCTCGCCTTCAAGTTTTCTAGAGGGCTGCTCCGTTCCTGTGGAACTCACTTCCCTCCTCCATTAGATGCTCACCTGTCTCCACTCCTTCAAAAAATCATTAAAAACCCACTTCTTCATAAAAGCGTATCAATTAAACTGTTAGCTCCTGACTGATTCCTTGTCCGCAACTGTCAGTAGTCTAATACTATCCTTACCTTTTTGTGTCATTTTACCCCACTCCCTCTAGCATGTAAGCTCATTGAGGAGGGCCCTCAACCCCTCTGTTCCTGTGTGTCCAACTTGTCTGGTTACAACTACATGTCTGTTCGTCCACCCATTGTAAAGCGCCGCAGAATTTGATGGCGCTATATAAATATCATAATAATAATTTAATCGACTCCAATATCTTTTCACATAACTATTTACTTTGGAAGTCTGTATTGCACTGCTCTTTATGTACATGAAATGGTTAGAAAAATAGGAAGTACACAATTAATTAAGGCCTTTAATTTTCATTTTATCGGCAAAATAAGTAATTAAGTATCTACCATTTTTAGATTATATTTTTTATCAAGTTTTAAATTGATGTAATGTTAGTCAATAAAAAGAAATGCATAAAGAGCCTATGGGGGCTTTACACCACCCCCATGCCCCTACTTGCCATTTTGAAAATGGAGAAATGACCACTAAACAGTAAGCTGCCAGTGGCTGAGCCTTCAACCACTGGTGGAGATTATAATTAAATATAAAAATGGAATGGACATGCAGAGCATCAAAGAAAACGAGTTAATGGATGAACTTAAGGATGATCCTACATAACACCACATATTCCTTTGAAAAAAATATAGGCTCCCTGGATAGACCTAAGGCACACCTGTGCAATAATCATGATGTCTAATCAGCATCTTGTTATGCCACACCTGTGAGCTGGATGAATTATCTTGTCAAAGGAGAAGTGCTCACTAACACAGATTTAGACAGATTTGTGAACAATATTTGAGAGAAATAGGCCTTTTGTGTACATAGAAAAAGTCCTAGACCTTTGAGTTCAACTCATGAAAAAGGGGGGCAAAAACTAAAGTGTTGCATTTATAATTGTGTTCAGTGTATATAAATATATACATAGGGTGGGAAATGCAGCAGCTACTGGTAAATTTCTAAATAAAATTAGATCCCCAAAAATAACTTTAATTGAATATTTATTTACAGTGTGTGTATATAATGAATGCAGTGTGTGTGTGTGTGTTTGTGTAGTGTATGTATATAATGAATGCAGAGTGTGTGTGTGTGTTTGTGTAGTGTATGTATATAATAAATGCAGAGTGTGTGTGTGTGTTTGTGTTTGTGTGTGTGTATATAACGAATGCAAAATGTGTGTTTGTGTGAACGCAGTGTGTGTGTATATAATGAATGCAGTGTGTGCATTTTCCTTGGTTCCTTGGGGTGTCGGATATTGTGCCATTCCTGGGTGAGTCCAGCAGGCTGTTTTTGGTTGTCACTAGGTGCAGCAGTGATGAATCCCTATTATCACAGTAGGCAGGTGCCTTCTGCTACCCCCAAGATTACGTGGAACTTATCGTCTTTGTTGATTAATAGTTTAGCTGGGAATCAACAGTGATATGGCATTTTCCTGTTTCTCAGCTCAGCTGTTATCATTCGAAAGTCTCTCTGTCTTCGGAGGGTTTCCATTGACAGGTCGGTATAAACCTGAGTGGATCTGTATTGTTCTGGTATGTCTTGTTGCATTTGGTTCGATTTAAGAATGGTTTCGCTCACATGGAAATAGTGTAGTTTGACTTGTACATCTATCGGCGTTGTAATTGGTAGGTGTTTCGGCATAGCGACCCTATGCGCTCTGTCCATCAGTACCGTGGATGGTTGGATGTTGCATTTGTTTTTAAAGGACAGAAAGGGCTTCAGTTTGATATCTTGTATGTATACCTAACACAACATTAATTATGAATACAATGTTAAAATTGTTTACACATTAAAATGATGCCTCAGCCTATACTGACACAGATTCTAACTAAATACCTACTATAAAATTACCCCTAAAACTAACATTTGTCTAGAGGTGCCCAAAAGATATATCTCCAGATACTGTAGAACTACAACTAACATGATGCTTTTTGCACATGCCTTTAGAATGACAAGGCATCACAGAAAGTTTAGTTTTAAAACATCTGAGGCTCTACTTTTTGGCACCCCTGTCCTAGACGATATCTAACCCTAAAACAGAATTAACAATAACCCTGCACTAACCTACCTTACACTAACCTACACCTTATGTTAGTCCTACTCCTAACTTTAACATAATGTTAATCCTACCCCTAACTTTATCAAACAGCTACTAGATGCATACTTGCAAAAACAGAATATTCAAGGATATAATCTTTCAATGTAGGGTAATAACTGCTTGATCCAAGGATAAATCTGACTGCCATTCTGGGGTCAAGAAGGAATTTTTTTCCTAGCTTGCTGCAAAATTGGAAGTGCTTCATCTGGGTTTTTTTTTGCCTTCTTTTGGATCAACAGCAAAAAACAAATGTGAGGAAGGCTGAACTTAATGGACGCAAGTTTCTTTTCGGCTATGCTCTACTACTACCTCTTGCCTTAAGATATACCCTCTGCTGGATATCATAGCTAAAAAGATACTAAAGCTAAAAGAGAGGTTAGTGAATACAGTCTGGTATGCTGTATCTTCTATTCACCTAGTGATCAAAGCTTTATTGTTTGGTAAATTATTATTTTTTTCAAGGTTTTCCTGTTTAACCAAAATGTTCATATTTGTTTCCATTTATTAATGTGCTATCTACACATGCTGAAACTAAAAAAATACATATAAACATTACTTCCCACTACATCCAAATTACTCAGATTCCAGTGGTGAGGTTTTTCTGCAAGGGAGGAGTTAAACTCATTTTAAGTACTGTATAAGCACATCTGTCAGCACAGGACCACAGGCCCAGCTGACAGAGGGGAGTCCCAAGCATCTACTTATACTTGTGTCTCCTAGGTGCGAGCCGGGATTTAACTCTGTTCAGACTAAGTCTGCAGGAGATTTCATTCTGTATTAATCAAGTTAAAACCCTCTCTGTGGAAGTCGACATGAAATGTCCTAACATAGTTAAGGAGTTAAGCTGTAGTGGTTCTAGTGCTTAAAGTATCCCATTAATGTTACATATTTTATCATCATGGTGTCAAAACACAAAACATATTTTAGCATTATATTTATAAGTATGCCTTTCCCTTTACCATGTGTAACTAAAACATAGGAAAACTCTTTTATAGCACAAGAAAACTGATGGGTGCATAATCTCTAGAAAATAGGTCACTGTTTAACCTTTGTTAAACAAATATCTAAACCTTAAATATAAGTTGTGTGTGAGACTCCTATTTTAAAAAGACAAACTACTCTGCTTGACAAGAACATTGATTTATTTACATATGTACAGTAATATTGATGTGTAAAATTGTGAATTTTTCTTTGAAATGTTGCAAACAAAATAAATATTTAATTAGTAAGTAACTAAGTCACAAACAAGGACTAACAATTCAAGATAAGCAGTAGGCTTCTTCTTATATCTCTAAAGGTCAAACATGCACCATTTAATAACCTGTCCTGCATAAAGAATGTTTAATATTTATTTTGGGCCTTAACATGATACTGTAGCACTTAGGACAAAATATACATCCCAGAACCCCTGCACTGGAAGCCACAATAGCAAATATTTCTACAGCAAGCATGTATTTCCCTTTGGTGCTAATATATGCTGGGATAAATGAGACCCAAACACTGCAGAACACAATCATACTGAAAGTGATATAACGAGCCTCGTTAAATAGATCTGGCAACTGCTTGGCTAGAAAAGCTACAATAAAACTACAAAGTGCCAGGAACCAGTTATAACCAAGAGCAACATAAAACAAAAGAAGAGAGCCAACATTACAATGCAGTATAAGTTTTCTAATTACTGATTTTGAGTCTTTGTCTGGGAATGAAGGCCAGGATGTTAACCACCACAAGCAGATTCCAACTTCGCCCAAGGAGAAGAACAAAACTATAAAGATGGAAACCCTGGATCCCAAAAATATTTTGAATTTGCTTCCTGGCTTTACAGCTGAAAAGGCTACTAAAACTGTAATTGTTTTTGCCAGAACTGATGACAATGTAATAGCAAAGATAATATTGAAAACAGTATTCTGAAGCAAGCATGTGATCTTCCCAGGAATGCCAATGAATAACATGGGACACAGGAAAGAAAGCATGAGAGAAGAGAGGATGAGGTAACTTAGAAACCTATTATTGGCTCGTACTATGGGTGAATGTCTGTGCATTATGAAAATACCAAGTATTGCAGCAGTAATAAAAAATAACACAAGTGGAAACAATGTCAACATTGCACCAAGAGGTTCATGGTAAGATAAATAATCAATGGTTCTTGGCAGACAAAAAACTTGCTCAGCATCAGGATATTCATATTCAGGACACTCCAGACAATTATCCATATCTAAAATAAAAAATCACAATGCATTAACAATTACTTATAGACAAGTAGAAAGCATATTTATAAAACAAACTGTTACTTTTTTTACTGTCAATTTGGGTCCACGCTAGCAACTGTGCAAAGGAAATCTGAAATACTTTCCAGTAGATGACAGATGTGGTTGTTTACATGTGAGGTTCCACCTGACTGTCCAAAGAGTGTCTTTTGGCCCATTTAGTTTTATTGTTTACAAGTGGGACTCTACCTCACCAGATTCATAATTCATATAAAAAAAAAACTCTGAAATATATTCTTGTGACCACTGAGATTATAGATTGCTGAACACTGTTTTAGTAAGCAAAGACGTCCTTTGGGTGGGTGCAAGCATTGGCTCTTTGACCTTTACTAATATGCTATAGCATTGGTGCAGAAGCAAGGGGGAATGGGGATAAGAATAACCTGATAACACCTGAAAATAGATGAAGCTTTTAAAGGCATATCTTTTAAGAAAACAAAACAAAAAAACACGTTAAAAGAGTTGGTTATTCCATTCTACTAATAGAGTACATAGTTATAATAATTTTGTCTGTAGAAACCCACCGCCCCCTGATTGTCTTTGTTTCCTACGACGCTGAGCTATGGTCTTCAGTCAATGCAAAAACAAAATGTGAAACATATGGCCTTCAAACTGAATGTTAGATTTTAAAGAAGTCTGCAGACATAAATGTATGAAATATATGTATAAATTTATATAAAAATATTTTTATAAAAAAATCCATGCAAGATGAATGATAAGTAAAAAAAAAAAAACAACAACTATATTATTACCTTCAAGGTAATATTTTCAGCTCAGTATAAGGGTGGTGGAGATGGGGGGAGGAGAAAGCTGATAACAGAGGAGGTATGTAATATTGATAAACATTCACAAAAAGTACAAATGACTCATGATAATATTAAATGTATGCTTACTAATGCAAGGAGCCTATATAACAAAATGGGGGAACTAGAGGCAATAGCATACACTAAACAATATGATATAATAGGCATGACAGAAACACGGTGGGATGAGACACATGACTGGGCAGTTAACTTTAATGGGTACATGTTATTTAGGAAGGATAGGAAAAACAAGAAGGGTGGTAGGGTATGTTTGTATGTCAACCATGAGTTAAAGTCAAATCTTAGGCATGTGGAGTGTGACGAGGAAAATACGGAAGGTTTATGGGTAGATATCTGCTTGGGCGAAACGAAGGGAAATCAGTTATTGGTTAGGATATGTTATAAACCACCTAATGTAAATATGAATAAAGAAGAACAGCTGTTAGAGCAAATTGGGAAAGCTGCAAATCAGGGTAACATGTTAATTACTCGAGATTTTAATTACCCGGACATAAATTGGGATAGAGTGGCCTAGTACTTCAGCAAGGGGAATCCGGTTTTTGAATGTGTTAAGTGACACTTTCACGTCACAACTGGTACAAGGACAACTAGAAAGGATGCTTGTCTGGATCTCGTTATAACAAACAATGTTGATCTTTTGACTAACATTCAAGTAGGGGAGCATATGGGAAATATTAATCACAATATGGTAATTTTTTTAAATAAACTAAAAAAAAGCAAAAGCATGTGGGGTATACTAAAACTAATAATTTTTAAAAAGCCAATTTCAATAAGATTAGGGCAGCTCTACAACATATCGACTGGCATAAACACCTTAGTGAAAAAACACTGAGGATAAATGGAAACCATTCAAACAAATATTAGAAAGTTACATTTCTCAGTATATACCATTGGGTAATAAATATAAAAGAAACAAATTACAGCCAACGTGGCTTAGTAGAGCAGTAAAACAAGAGATTAAAAATAAGAAAAGGGCATTTCAAGCATTTAAATCGGACAAATCAGAGGCAGCCTATGTAAGATATAAGGAAGCCAATAATGCTTGCAAAAAGGCAATTAAAGTGGCTAAACTAGAAAATGAGAAGTTGATAGCCAAAGAATGCAAAACTAACCCCCAAATATTTTCAAGTACATCAATTCTAAAAAAACTAAATGTTAAAGTGTAGGTACACTGGAAACAGAGATGGGTCTGTTAGCTAATGAAGACCAGGAAAAGGCAGCCATTTTAAATAGCTATTTTTCTTTATTATATATTAATGAGGATCATATGGCAAGAGATATGCAAATGATTGCTGCAAAAAACTTGCAGATAACTTGTGATTGGATGACTCGAGTCAAGGTGCTACAGCAGTTAAAGAAAATTAACGTAAATAAAGCTCCAGGGCCTGACAGTATTCACTCACGAGTACTTAAGGAGCTAAGTGGGGAAATAAGTGAACCTCTGTATTTAATTTGTCAAGATTTTTTTGTTTCAGGTATTGTACCGGAAGGCAGATGTCGTAAGGAAGGCAGATGTCGTTCCTATATTTAAAAAGGGTTCAAAATCCTTGCCTGGAAATTATAGACATGTGAGCTTAACTTCTGTTACTGGGAAAATATTTGAAGGTCTATTAAGGGATAATATTCAGGAATTCATTGGGAAGAATTTTGTTATTAGCAATAATCAGCATGGTTTTATGAAACATAGGTCATGTCAAACTAACCTAATTGCATTCTACTAAGAAGTAAGTAGAAGTATAGATCAGGGCGTTGCAGTGGATGTGATCTACTTGGCTTAAGAATAGAGTATAACGAGTTGTCATTATTGGTAAATTTTCAGGCTGGACAAAAGTGGTAAGTGGTGTCCCTCCGGGATCTGTTTTGGGACCGCTTCTATTTAACATATTTATAAATGATC